TAGCATATTAAGTCTTTAGTGCATTAAATATTTAGATATTTACCTTGGATGCCTTGCTTGATGAACTCCTGTTTCGCTGCCCTGCAGGGGCACAACACCGAATGTTGCAACGCCACAGCTGCCCTCCGCCCTCCGGTAGCACCGGCAATTTGTCCCGGGCTGCAGCACGTAGCAAACACAGACAGCGTGGCCGCATCACTGCACAAATCCAATCAGGGGCATTATTTCGTTGTAACACCCAAAGTCCTCTCTGGGCTGCGTGTGTGCTGGGAGTGGGTGCGGAAGGGGGAGGTTCTTAACTTATTTTGTGGTATCATTAACCTTTAAACTTGGCCGGGACGGACGCAGGCAAGCGAGCGAACTGTGCGCAGAAATTGTAAACTTTTTCACTCGCCAAAGTTTCCCTTCGGCCGCAAACTTTTTTAGACCGACACACACACACACACAGAGACAGGGGCAAGAGGGACGGAAGGACCAGTTACACCCAAGGAAAACGTAGAATTTTCAACTTTATTTTCGATTTTCGTTTGCCGCAAAAATCGCATTTGCAGGCCAAAAACTTAATTTGCGCCAACAACGAGAGCGGGAGAAGAAAGCGATGCCGCAATGGTAAAAGGAAAACTTTGGCCGCCGCGCTTCGCCCACCTTGCCCCAGCCATTTCTCTTTTAATGCAATCAAGCGGAAATTGATACGTCACCGCCAGCCAAAGCTGCAACACAAAAGTGTTGCCAAATTGTTGCAAATAAAATTGCTGATATGGAAATTTTATGTGCAACTTTTTCTTGCCTCTACACGCCGCAGAAGGCAGGAACTTTTCGGTGTCTCCCGGAGGAGAAGTGCAAAGGCTGTCCTTTCGATGTTGCCGCCTAAGAAATGAGCTCCATTCTCCAGTATTTGTATCTTTGCTCCACATTCAGCTGCATGGCAAGGTCACCTTGACTCTGGGGCATGCCACATCCACTCCCGGACATCCCTTCAGATTAGCTGGCCCATTGTCGCGTGCAACTGCCGAGATTTTGAGAGATAGCTTATCAGGTCTTGGCGAAAATAGAGCGGCGGCCAGACGGAATGGCTGATCAAATTAAAGTTTGGCCATCAATGCGGCTTACGGGGTGAGAGAGCCATCTCTCAGCAGGGGCGGGGAAACTATAACTCCCGCGTCGCTTCCTGGCCAACTCAAAACGCACATCAATTTGAAACTTAATCTGGCCGCACAAATAAGCCGCACCAAAAGTTAAGACCCAAAACAAATGGCCGGGGTTTTGAACTAGGACCCTGCCCTAAGCCTCCTGCTGCTTGCCTCCTTTCCCCCCGTATTGTATGCAAACAATTTACGGCGCAAATGGCCAGAAAGCGCCAAGGAAAAGCAGGAGAAGAAGATGAAGTGGAGGACAGGAGGAGCTAGGACAAAAAATTGATACTGAGATGGCGAGGGCGGGGGTGGGCAGCGACTCCGAATGAAAAACTAGGCGGCGTCTCATGCATAAAACGAAAAATGAAATACAAGGAAAGCAGCCTCAAAATGGGAAAGGGAGTGAAAACGAAAATGAAAATGAAAATGCAAGCAATAGTTGCCCCAACGAGAATAATTGAAATTCACCACAGAGCAGCGGGCCAGGAAAAAGGGGACACTGACTTGAATGGAATGGAATGGAATGGATGCACTGGGCGATGGATCGGCGGTGTGTATAGTGTATATAGTAGTACCTCAACTGAAAATTGAAATTGAAATGGAAAAGAAAATGGAGATGGAGATGGACGTGGAAGTAGAAGTGGAAATGGAAACACTCCGACAGGATTTGAGCCCGCATTAAGAGATTTGTTAAGAGCTTGGCCGCCCTTTTGCTAATTCTCAGACTGTTGTGGATTTTCAGTCCATCGTATTGTAAACTTTAAATTGGCATATTCATCGGCCCGGTTTCCGGATTTCCAAGTCAAGATGAGAAGAGTCGGGAACTCAGTTTGATAGTCCTTCAAGTGGCTGGGAGCGGGCCACGTGATATTTTGATGAATTTGCAAGGACCTTGAAGGAAGTTGGCGAATATAGTTGGGCACTTCTCCATTTCTCCATTTCTCCATTGAATGCATTGGACTTTTGAGTGGCAATTACTTCCAGCGCGGAGTGGAGCCACTGGCAGGCACTGCCAGGCACTCGTCTAACTGCCCACAATTAAGTTAATTAGTATGAAGAAGGTAGTCGAAGGCGTCGTCCTTTGTTGTGTTATTCGGCGCTGCTGTTTGTGCAATTAAGTTGATTGCGCCTATAAATATTCAGCACTTGCCTGTGATTATAGCGCGGATTTTTGCCTTTTCTCTCTTTTTTCTGCGCTTTTTCTTTGTGTCTGCGCGTTGCGCCTAAAAGTGTGCTCTAATTGTTATTCCTCGACTGTCTTTGTTGTCCTTATCTGGCGTCGAGTTTGGGATAAACTGAGTTAGACTTGCGCTTGGGCTTTGTTCGGCTGTCCTGACGTCCTGAAGACGCCATCAACTGCTAATAGCTTTGGGATATCTCGTCGTATTCCCTCTTTTTATGACAAATGCCTTTCAAGTGCGTACATTAAAATCTTTACACTCTCTTCGCACTCCACTTGGTGGCTGTTTATTGCAGGATTCCTTCTTCCAGGATTTAATTTCAAGGTGTTGCGAGTTCTCCTCCTCCAACCTACTCCTGGAACAGCTTTAACCAGACTTGCCTTTGATCTTGCTCAATGTGGCTCAGTGGCTGTTCCATGTTTCTTTCACTTGATGGTCGCATCCAATCTATCTCATCCTTCGGGAGCGTTCCCAGTAATAGTGGGCGTGACGTGAGCAAACGTCTACTGTCTAACTAGCGGAGCATCCCTCCTCAGTCGCTCCTGCTTGGCATTGTTAATCTTCAACCTGAGTCCTAATCCGTGCGTCATGATTGAAAGCAGCTGCAAGAACGTTGCTGCACTGCTGCATTGCTGCCTTCTCGAGCGGTAAAACGAAGCCAACAGAACAGAGAACAGAGGGCGAGGGAATGGGGGAGTGGGGGGAAGCTCTGGGAAAAGCACATCTCACATGATGCGACGACGACATCGTCTAATCTGATTGCCCCGATGTACTTGCCTCATGCCAATTTGCGTCAATTTAGATGGCGCCGGAGGAGGAACACTGCTGCCTGAGGCAGTAGCTTTGGCTGGCTTTAAGCTGGCTCCGACTTTGCTGCCTAGCTGCTAATTAGTTCAGCCAGCGGGGTGGTGCAGCAGTTGCAGGTGCAACATCCGCCCTTGGCACATTATCCATAATTAGCATCCGCCGCCAGCAGTGGCGAAATATCCCTTCAGTGACTCCGCAGGCCAAATCGCACAAAGGCGAGTGGTTCGTTCTGGGGTCGTGCACTCGAAAAATAAGGGAAATACTTTCGAAATACTTTCAAAAGTAAAGTAGTAAAGTATTCCCTATCATGATTTCTTTCTGTGCATGCATGCGAAGGAAAGATTAAACGGGGAATGGAAATTAGCAGGGGGAGAGGCGCAGTGCCACTGCCCCGGGGTAGACTCAATGTCGGGCCTTACGTCCCATGTGTGTTTGTGGCAAGTTAATGACACACCTTAACCCATGTTAACCTACTTTTTCATGTTGTGGTTATTCTTGTCGTGCTTGTTGTTGTTCTTGTTCTTTCCACTTGACCCAAAGCCAAAAAAAAGAAGAAGGAAAGCGCCAGGGGGAAATGAAGAGCACGACGGGGACCACAGTGCGTATGGCCTTCATGCAATTGACATGAATTTGGCTGTAGCAGTCGTGGATATGGCCTACTTCCAGTCCCTTTCCCCTGCACTCTAACAATTTCTGGCCAACTTAGCTGGCTTGTTCATCTTGCAGATCATTATCTGGGCCACTTTCCGGGCCAAAGCGGGTCAGCGCACACTTTTTAAAGCCAAAGCCTGATGCTTGAATACTAATTGCCAGCGAGTCACTCTGACCTGTGGCACTGTGGATGCCTCAATTATGATCTATGCAAAGGTATAATGAGGCATATGGGGCTGAAGCTGTTGAAAACTGATAGCAATATTAGCAGAGAAAGAAAAGCCCTAAGAAGGAAAGGTCATCGTATTACTTTTAATAATGCAACCAACTTAATATTAACAAATGGAAACCATAAAGTGCGAAATGCGGAGGGAGATTCCCATGGAACGACTTGTGGCAGCCGAGCAATGGCCTTCATTTGTCTTTCCCAGCTGCTGGTGCTTCTTCTTCAGCTTGTTAAGCATAATTAAAATCACAGAGCAGAATGGACGTGGACAGGGGGAGTGGCGCTGGAAAGGGACAGGGCAGATGAGTGAGTGTGATTAAGAGACTGCAAATTGTTTTTGCCATTGCTGGCTGGCTCTCAGACTTAATCTCATTTAAGAAGCCAAAAAGTAAGCTCTGCCACTCGCTATTTCCTCTGACTGATCAAGAGCTAAGTCAGAGTCTAGAAAGAAACACTTTTCCGAACATAGATTCAGATTTGTATGGTTGAAAGTGCCAGCACTCCTCCCTTGCACCTGTTCTGTGGGGCAAAGGTAGGGCAAGGAGAGCCTGGCTATGATTATGCAAATGTTTTAGCCCCATTGAATTTGATGGCCGCGAATAAATGTAATTATAATGCGCATTCTTTGGAGAATCAAACACACCATACATATGCATTAAATGCATGAGTACGTAAGTGGGCGGCGTGCACGCTGGCAGTGGATTACGTAATGCCTGGCAATGCACTGAATATGATATAATGGATTATGCATAATGCATGATCGCATCCCTTAATCAACGCCAAACGAGCGACATTTAATTTTAATTTTAATTAATTTTGTCATTTGCTTTTAACACCGATGATGATGGCTTTTCCGGGGAAACGAGCGTTGTATTGATAATCCATGCGATGTGGACGCAGCTGTGTAATGGCGCTGTGGATTGGATTGTGGGTGGACTGGGTGGATGGAGCGTGTGACTCCGTCAGTGCTACGGAGTCGGGCATTGGACGAGGGCTGTTTGGTGTAGTGATGTTTCTGAGCTTCCTGGTCGATCTCTTTGACTGCCGTCGCTTTGGCGGCGATTGCATGATGGAGTTCCCATCCCCGCCGCAGATTGAAGAAACAAAGCCCAAGCTGGTTAGGGTGGAACTACCGCCGCCGCCTCCACTGACCTTTGAAATCATCTGCAATCCCTGGGCCACCGAACAGGAGTGCTGGAATGATGGCTACGGCTTCGATGATCCCCGACTGCCGGAACTAATCATTTGATTTTGTTTCAAATCGAAGGACGCCACCCAACGCCCAACGCTCTACGCCCACCGCTCGCCTCCATTCCGCTTCATTTGGTTTAATTAAAACTCTTTTTGCCATAATCCAATTACGGCCAAAGGCAAAAACCAAATGACAACAAATGGCATAATGGCCAGACAACAAAAACGGCGGCAAAAAATAGAAAAACTCGGCAAAACTCAAACAGAGAGCAGCACGGCACGGCTCTGGACAAAAAAGCCGAACAAAACAAAATGCAAACAAACAATGCAATAAAATTCAATTACAACAAATTTTTAATTAACTTTTTGCAATCAAAACAAAACCAAATGAGGAGGCAGCAGCAGTACATCGGAGTGCACATGGGTGGCGAGTTGAAGTGGCAGCAGCAGTGGCAGTGGGCGTGCTAACAAATTCACAATTCATCGATGAAAGGCAGTGGAAGGCCGAGTTCCTGCGATCCGAAATAGTTTAAATTTCTATAGGATTACGTAGTTGTGATATTAAGTCGGTAAAGTAAGCATAAACAATGTTGCAAAGCCAATAAAAGGTTCTTGTTTTGATTGGCTGATAGGTCGCATTACGTATACGCCGCATGGCACCGAAATGTATCGTTTGGTTTAAAGTAGTTTGGCTTTCCCAGGGATATATTTGTTGATAAAATGTATCAATAAACATTGAGCATGCAGCATTGAAGGTGAAGGAGGCAGTAAGCAACCCTTTTACGCTCTCAGCCACAGCCATTGCGACCCATCAAGATCTGGGAATTGCCACCAGCTCAGCTTTAGCCAGCCCTCCCCTCCTCTATAGATAAACATATAGATATCTGTATGGCAATCGAGGGGAAGACAGCTTTTAGTGCGACATTCGCTGGAAAGTTTGCAGCAGCAGCCTGGCAAACGACACCTAAACCGACTAATAGCTAAAGTCACCTCCTTCGGCAGCAGGGCTTCTGCTGCACCCATTCTGAGCCATTTGTTTGCGAGAATTGCATTCGTGTCTGCGAAATTACATTTTCCGTGTGATTCCGCTGTTCTGCTGCTGGCATTGTTGTTCTTGTTGCTGCTTCGAATGTGTGGCAAATTGTAAAACTTATTTGTTAAAGTCTGAAGTGTCTGCGGAGCAGTGAAGCCCCCCTGCAACGCCCCCGGCAATTAATGCCAAATGTTTCTGCTTAAGGCCGCCGACTGTTGTTTTCCGTTTCTTTCCAATTAACTCGGCAATTGGCAGGCCAAAACGCCCCTGATTGAACAGCCAGGTGTAGGTATAGATGCGGGCGAGGAAATTCGGGGAAAGCCCGGTAATCTTTTCACGCACGCAACTCGAGCCCAACTTTATGCCTTTCCAGCTTTCGGTATAATCCATTAGTTTGGCCAACTTTCCTTGCCCAATATACTAAACCCACACCCTAGAGCACAATATTAAAGTTTTTTATAATCAGTAAATGCCACGCAGCCCTTCTAACGCTTTCCTTTTAATGGGAAATCTTTAGTTGTGAGTTTAATACTCAAGCATAGATAGATAATTCATTAGGCCTACAGAATCTATTACAGATTTCTGCCTAGAACTGGTCGGGAATGTTTCGGACAGAGCCAAATGGGCCGGGCACTTGGTCAGGACGTCCGAAAATCTGATCGTAACGCTCCAAGGTCTCGTAGGAGACATGTAGGTTCTCCGGTGAAGGTTGAATGCTACTAGTCCAAGAAGACGGAAGTGGCAGTGGCTGAAGACCCTGAGCCACTGGCATCACCTGCCTATGGCAGAGAACCTGCTGCTGCTTCGGCTGATCCCTCCTAGGGTCGGGTGTTTCATCGTCCACGTTAACTTCATTCCGCTGATGGGTGGTGCTGGTGGTGTCCGCCTCCGGACTAGCCGGGGCCCTGATGCAGGCAAACAAGTCACTCAGACTAGTGCACATGTCTTTCGCTACTGGAGAAGTCCGCCGGAGGTACCAAGTGTTTTATAGCGATTCCCGTCCAACCTACAGCTGTTTTGCTCCTCCTAATAGCACCAACTAACTTTAATAGCTGTTCAATTAAGATTGATTGAGCTTATCTGATGACTTTTTACAGAAGATTGTTTGGCCAATGCAGTTCGATTGCCCTTCAGCAGAGGGAAAACAGAGCAAAGGTTAAGCCGGAGCTAAAGGGGGATCCAAATCATATCGCCAATTTCCCTGCCCGACAAGTCAAGCTGGCGCTCTTCTGAGCCACTTCCGCTGCTCCATTCATCATCGATATAGCCCGAGAGGAGGGGAGGGAGGAGCGCAGGATGAGGCTCCTTCATATTTCGCACAACAATTTGACAGCCATCAATCAGTGGGCGACACACCCTCCACCCTCCGCACCCTCCGCACCCTACACACCCACCGCCCCTCGGCGGCTGAGTGGCCACTTGAATGGTATAAAAAGCGGAAATTAATGCACTTAAGGCATTCAAAATAGACGAGAGATCGAGCGCGGCTCAAGTGGAATCCTTAACGGCGTTTAACCAGCTTTCTCTGCCTCCTTCCTTTGGTCCTTTAGGCCACTTCGGTGATTAATTGGAAAGGAATTCCTTGAAGGCTCTTCACGAGACTGCTTTTTAACCTTTGTTAATGGCAGGCCATTGAGCTGCTAAAGCCCTAGATTAGCGACGAGGGCCAAGTGTACTTCATTTTCCAAGATTATAATAATAGCAGGTGCAGGGAATATATTTCCAGCGTCATGAATTGTATTAGCCAGTAAGCATTATCCTTATTAACCGCAAATTGTGTGTCATTTTCCATGATTGATTCATTGATGAATGGAGTGACGAAAACAGGGGGTGGGCTGGTCTTCCAGGGGGCAGGAAACACTTTCCAAAAATATACAAATCCTGGGGACATAAAAGTCCCCAAACAGCAGCTGTAGCGCCATCCCGTGGCTATTTAAACGTAATTCACCACACCAAAATACTGGGAATTCCTTCTGAGCAGGTAAGGTGTCCGCACTAAGGTGAATGAGTAGCAGGTTTATGTACCAGCTAGCTGCTGGCCTCTGGTTGTGGAATCAGCTATGCAGGAAAATTTAAATCATTTTATAAACTCTTTAACCCAACTGTATCGCGGAATATATTTTGGAAAAAACAAGTAAGATTATTAAGCAATAGTCACAGATAATAATAAAGATAATTTTAGTCATGTAATGAATCCGTACTTAGCACTTACTAAATGGAAACAAGTAAATGTAGATAAAAATCGTATTTTGTCAGAGTAAAAGTAATAGAAAGCATTGCTTAACCACCAATAGAACACCTAAATACTCTTTAGTTAATGTTTAGTCATATGGAAATCATGTAATTAACGCTAAAGCAGTCCGACATAGACACTAGCTTGTTTTCACATGATTTCCGCCATTTAAGCCACAAGTGTGAGTGTTTTAACCAAGTTTATGTTTTTCTCCATATACTTTCAGCTAACGGAGCTGGAGCAACGCGTCATTGAAGCGGAAGATCGCGCAGAGGAAGCGGAAGATAAGGTAAGCCATTAAATGACTGGAAGCCGCCGCTTCCTTATCACAAGGGTGGCGAAATTAAAACAAGCGTAAGCAGACATTATATCCACTCCGTCCTAGACGAAAGCTGCGTCATTAGAAGGCAGTTAAAGTGCATTTTGTCCAGAGATATCCATGACGATGTTTCTCATGCAGTGGCGGCGGGGTAGCTCTAGACAAAGGGGTGATTGGTGGCACCAACAGCTGTGGCGCACGTTTACTGGTCCAAAAACCGAAAAGTTGTCACCAACTCAAGCGGCAGACGGACACTGAACGAAAATGAGGTGTAAGTTAAGTTTCAATAGATGGCGTATTTAGCAGGGACATATCATATAGTGGGTTTTTTGTTAGTCAAGGCAGTTTCTTCTTTTCATGCGCTAAATCTTAAGTTTTAATGAGACTTTTTAATATCAAAAACCTACCTTATGTTCTTTTGAGTGCATATACTTTCTGCGGAATAGGGGGATAAGGGGGTATGCGGATTATACAGCGTGTGCTCGGTACACAAAACATAAATCGACTTCCGCTCAGTACCCCCGTGGAGCACCCATTGTCCCCCGAAAATACACATTAATGCAAGCCTGGGTTGGAGTTCGTGCGGTTGCAAGCGGAGCGGAGCTTTGCCAAACTCCCCCATAGCCTTTTCGTCCTCCGCCCCTGAGCAGAAAACCACCCCCAAAAAGGGCGAAGGGATACAGGCTGCAGCCTGCCGTGTCCCCCTCCTGATTACCTGATTCTGGCACAGCTCCTCATACTTAGGCTTTCAATATCAAATGCGCATTGTTTGCATTAACAAGTCTCCGGAGGCTTTTGGTTTTGCCTAACGCAACACCCCAAAAAAACAAGCGAAAGGCAAATATTTACACCACCTCCCTCGCGTTTTGATGCTGTGCTGCTGCACTGTTCGAAAAAGATGTGTAACTTTTGTACTTCCTTTAAAAATCTTTGGGAAATTTCAAAAGATTAAGACAAGTATGAGACTACGGTATCAAAGGTGTCCTTACCTAAGAACTTTGTTTTAGCTTCTCAAAAGTCGTTTCTCGGCGTGTAAATTTCTTGCTGTTTATATTTTATGCCAACCCATTCCAGTTAGATCATGGGTTTATCTCTCTGAGCTACCGTTGCCAGGCGATGTTTGCTTTGGTGCCCCGGCCACATTCGAATTCCTTGGGCTGGCCCTGTGCGCCATTCCCGGAGAGAGCAAACCCAAACCCGTAATGCAATCCCCGGAACAGAAACCGAACAAAGCGGCGCCAACCACTGTGACAAATTGAATTCTTGTTACTTTGTTTGCGCCGAGATTAAATTCGTGTACCACGACGTGGATGTTAACTAGCTAGCAGCACGGTCTAGAACGGCAATAGCCACCCCGATTTCCCAGTTCTCCCAGCAACAGCCTTCTAACCTTTTTAAATTTCAACGGGGCAAACCGTTAACAGCCCCATTATGTATGCTTCAATTAGTCGTTGCTGGGCTTTAAAATGTGTTAGCTCATTAGAACTATTACGGGGTGTCTTTGATGACGGAGGCTGCCCTGCGTGGCAGCCACTGGGGTTAATAAAACTTTCATAGATGATTAATGAATTGGTTATGGTTCGAGAAACAATGGGCCAATATTTTAAGCAGTACTATAAGTCTAACTGTGAACGCAGGTCTTGATCCTGATAAACAAGTCGCAGAACTGAAAGAACGACAGTTTTGTGAAGCTTATGACCCCAACAAACTTTCCTCATCATTCGTTTAACGATTTTGAGAATTTGGATTTTTAACTAATTTTTGAATTTTCTGTAAGGGGTAACATCATCAAAATTTAAGAAAAAGGTCAAATTTTTACATTTTGCGGTGGGGACACAGTTCGATTGGAATTTTAATTACGATTTCAACGCTATATCACATTCTACAATCCGACAATTATTGGCTTTGTTATAGGAAGGATTCTTCATATTTTGAGCCCAGAATCAGGATTATGCGTTTCGCCAGAAAATTAGCATAGTTTTTTTTGGTCGGATTTATACCTACAACTCAGTCAAATGAAGGCTCAGAGCTATTATAAAGACAGTTTTGTGAAGCTTTTGACCCCAACAAACTTTCCTCATCATTGGTTTGACGATTTTGTGAATTTTAATTTTTATCAAATTTTTGAATTTTCTGTAAGGGGTAACATCATCAAAATTTCAGAAAAATTGCAAAGTTTTTACATTTTGAGGTGGGGACACAGTTCGATTGGAATTTTAACTACGAGTTCATCGATGTATGACATTATACATTCCGGCAATTATTTGCTTTGTAATGAGAATAATTCTGATTATTTTTGGGCAACAATCAGGATTACGAGTTTCGACAGATAATGGCACTATTTTTATCGGTTGTATGCCTATAACTTAGTCAAAACAAGACTTAGAGCTAAAAAGGAGACTGTTTTGTGAAGCTAACGACCACAACAAACTTTTCCCATCATTAGTTTGTTGATTTTAGCAATTTTAATTTTTAACTAATTTTTGAATTTTCTGTAAGGGGTAACATCATCAAAATTTCAGAAAAATTGCAAAGTTTTTACATTTTGAGGTGGGGACACAGTTCGATTGGAATTTTAACTACGAGTTCATCGATGTATGACATTATACATTCCGGCAATTATTGGCTTTGTAATGAGAATAATTCGGATTATTTTTGGGCAACAATCAGGATTACGAGTTTCGACAGATAATGGCACTATTTTTATCGGTTGTATGCCTATAACTTAGTCAAAACAAGACTTAGAGCTAAAAAGGAGACTGTTTTGTGAAGCTAACGACCACAACAAACTTTTCCCATCATTAGTTTGTTGATTTTAGCAATTTTAATTTTTAACTAATTTTTGAATTTTCTGTAAGGGGTAACATCATCAAAATTTCAGAAAAATTGCAAAATTTTGACATTTTGAGGTGGGGATACAGTTCGATTGGAATTTTCATTACGATTTCAACGGTATATGACATTCTACATTGCGACAATTATTGGCATTGTTATAGGAAGAATTCTTCTTATTTTGGGGCCAAAATCAGGATTATGCGTTTGGACAGAAAATGATCATAGATTTTATCGGTTTTATACCTACAACTTGGTCAAAAGAAGACTCAGAGCTAATATAAAGACAGTTTTGAGCAGCTAACGACCAAAACAAACTTTCCTTATCATTGGTTTACCGATTTTGTGAGTTTGAATTTTTATCAAATTTTTGCATTTTCGAAAGGGGTAACATCATTAAAATTTGAGAAAAACGTCAAAATTTTACATTTTGAGGTGGGGACACAGTTCGATTGGATTTTTAATTACGAGCTCAACGAGGTATTACATTCTATATTCGGACCATTATTGGCTTAGTAATGGGCAAACATGTTAAATATTTTGGAACAAAATTCGGGATTTTAGAAACAAGTTTTAGAAACAACTTTGATTTCTAATGCTATGTTACTATAGTTCAATGCATATATCGCCATCCAGTTTGTGTTTAAAGCCGAACTTTGAAGCTTTCGGCAAATATTTTGAAAGTCCATAACCAGTCAAGGTCAGAGGCTGAACTGCCTCCCCATGGTTTACATAGTCGCCCTGTCAGGACAAGCTGTTGCCTGCCTGGCTGTTAACTGAAAAGGGGTTTCCGACGCCACGGCCCCAACCCCGGTCTTTGGCCTTATCGCATTAATTATGCCTTAAAATGGGGAAGTATAAACACTTTAGAATGCCTCAACGCGGCCAATTAGGAATTTCCGAAGGAGTTTGGCGTTTTGAGGGTGCAACTGCACCCCGATAAAACGAGAGGGTGTGGAAATCGAGCACATGGCACGGGCCAGTGTTTGAAAGCGCCGGTAAGTCGACAAGGAAAACCAAGCAAAACAAATAACAAAAACAACAAGCGACCACAACGACTCTCAAACTGTATTTTTAAGAACTGGCCTGGCGTAAGCCTGTGAATTCTGGGGGTTGCAAAGCTTGACAGCTGAGAGAGAAACCGGAAGAGAGAGAAAGAGGAGAGCTACCAAGAGAGAAATCAACCCCGAAAAAACAACAACACGGGCGAAAAACCAAAAACCTGAATGGAACGCAGAGAACGAAAAGGAAACAGCGTAACAAAAGGCAGAGCGTAAAAGTTGTGCAAAAGAAGACTTGTAGCTGCGTGGATCTGTCGTAATTTGGTTTTTGTTTAGTTTTTGGCCCCAATTAATACTGGCAAGTTAACGAAAAGCAATACAAGATGGCCAACAAATAGTTAAAGTTGTCCTCGTGGTGAAAAAGCGGTGAAGTCATCGGTTGTTAAACGAAATATCGGACCAAAACGCGCGCCCAATGCACACATGCACATAGGAATGTGTGTGTATGTACTTAACTGTAGAAGGTGACGGGCAGAGCCAACTAAGTTAAATGCTGGATGAACTATAAGGGAACATAGTTATGCATTGCAATCCCGTTAAGGCGGATTGAGTGTGATTATAACGGCGGTGACAAGGCAAATTGATAAACGTCGTCTATTACAAGGCATTATCTTAGTGCATTGTTCAACACCAGCGCCAGGCGTTTGCGCAAAGAGGGCAAAACAGCTCTCTTCTCTCGGTTCGGCCCTCTCGCTCGATGACAGCTGACTGACGAAGAAGAAGTAGAGCGAAAGCAGTAAAGAAAAGCGAAATGGGGAAGAAGCAGTAGCAGCCCAAAAGGACAGACAAAATACAATAAGAATAGGAAGTTAAGTAAACTGAACTCTCGCCCAAAACGAAAATAACCAAAAACCACGAGAGGACGCAACCCGAACAAGGGCTAACACTCATTAAACACACATATCAAAATTAAGCCAAACAACAACATAACGTCCATTTACAAAAGAGCAACAACATGAAAAGGAGCAGGGGAGGAGGATAGCATCGAAGGAAAGAAGGAAAAAGGAATTAGTACAGTGAAAGAAATCAGGAAATTGGAAAATCATTAGTTAAACGAAGAGCACCTAAAGCAACAAT